CTGAATTTTATGAAAATTTGTTTAAAAGTAAATTAGACTTACTTCTTTTCGAAACTATACCAAGACCGTTAACAGAACAGCTTTACCGGCCCGTTAAGGTACCGGCACCTTCGAGAAATGGCCCCGAGGTCCTTTTCCTTCCCAGCCCTAGTCCCACGGAACAATTTCACCTGACTTCATCATAATATCCGCCATCTTCTCCGTGTGGACATACTATGAGGCTTACATGACACCCACTACAAGTTGTCTTCGACACGAACAAAATGTTGCAATCGGTCTGTAGACGTGTTCCTTTTAAGAGATCTCTGACTGCCCAGGTAATTATATTTGTTCTAGACCGTACTTCAAAGGAGTGCTTCTCATAAACATGCCTTTCGTGCGTCTGTCCTCCGAGAGATCATAGTTATGAACCAATCAAAATACAATGTACAATTCAGCGTATAATATAGCCCCTTGTAGATAGTTAGTTAGCTGAGTATTCTAAAATTGTGCTGTTAAGAAAAATGTAAAACGAGAACATAAATCTGTTATTTTGTAGAATCTTGTAGATAGTAAACTAAATAAATTTGTTTACTTGCCATTGATTTCTATGCATGATTGTTAATTTGTATTTAGCCGTCATCAGCTGTCACGCAATAAAAATCTTAAGCTTATAATTTGACTTTTGATATGACTCTCTGGCTGCTCTTCAGTTAAGCAAGAGGTTTCTGAGTCAAAGAAAAGATGAGAGTCTCACGATTTGCAGTCAAGAAGATGGCATAAGAAGAATTGTTCTAAACAATCCAAAACGAAGGTAGAGCACTAACTCATAATTGTTACTGTGGCAATCACTTTGAGGCTGCAGAATTCGTGTTACTTTCTTACACACTTTGCCAAGTCATATGCAACCATTGAATGAGTGGTAATAACTACACAAAGTCCTTCAATCATTACCCTAAAACTAGAGGAATGAAACTCATGAATGCTTGCACGTGAAAGAAACTGTTTGTTTGGCTGGGAACATTGTGCGTATGCTGAAGCCATGTGAAAAATTGTTATTAATTTATTACTTTTAATAATAGTGTGCCTTTTTTCCCTTCAGGAATGCCCTTTCCTTGAAAATGCTGGATACAATTAAGTCAAACCTACTTCAAAATGTAGACTCTGGACTTAGAGTTATTGTCTTGTCTGCAAATGGAGGTGTTTTTTCCTCTGGACATGACCTTAAAGAACTGGTAAGGCCACAGTTCTTGTAGCAAAATGACTAGGTTGCTGAGCTGTGTTGGTTTGGCAGAGGACTTGAAGTTGGTGATCAATGGTATATAAACTGCTTTGGTGCGCTTTAAAAAGCTAAATTTGCTTCCTAGGTTCTTTTACCATCAACAATTTGTAGTTGATCATCACCTTACAAGTTCTTTTGATGTTAAAAAAATAGTCATTTAAGTTATGTTTTGCAGGAGCAGGCTACCCTTTCAAAAAATTTTAAGACAATTATCACTACAAATCTAGTCCTCAGAAGTAGTTTTAAAATATTCAAACTGGCCTGCAAAGTGTATTGAGCACTGAATGAGAATTTTTTCTATTACAAATTGCAGACAGAAGAAGAAGGAACTGACCATCATGCCCAAATCTTTCATCGTTGCACTGAAGTCATGACACTTGTTCAGGTGTGTAATTTAATGTACTCAGTTTTTCTTTTATTCCCTAAACCTCTAAGAGTGACTAACATCTAATGTTTCCTTACAATATCACCCCTTAATCTCGCATTAACATCACAAGTGTAAAGGAAATGATTGCCAACCAAAGAAACTCTTGATTGTCAAACAAATTCTCTTTGTCAGTACCTTAGGAAATGAACAGAGAACAGTATGGAGAATATGCATATTGAGCTTGGGGAGAAAAGGTTGATCTACTATACCTGATAGCATCAATTGTTACTAAATTTCTGTCATTTCTGTAGTAACACACAGAGAAATTGTTGAAAATTTACTGAAAAGAAAACAAAAATAATTAGTTTAGAACCTCTAAATAATAAAACACAAATTTATTTTCTTTTAAAATTTAATTCAAATATTTCAGGATATTTCTGTTCCTGTCATAGCACAAGTGAATGGTAGGTATAGGAATTCAAATGAATGCAAGTGCATTTTGACATCTATGGGCAGGAATATTGGCGAGAAAGTTTTTGTTTCCTAGTCAATGTGCTCTCTTTATTTCTTGCACAATTCTTTGGTGATTGCGTACAGTAAAGGAAGGGCCATGGGTTCAGAGCCACTTTAACCCTTTAACTCCCAAGAATCCATTAGTAACTCTCCCTACAGTCTGACATACAATTTATGTTATGTTAATTTGGAGAATTTAAAATTGGATCAACCAACAATGCCCTAATTGATATATTTCTTTATTCTCATTACTTGTCTGCTTTTTATAGTGCTGATAGTGCAAGGAGAAATTCTGTCTTGGTCACCAGTGGGACTTAAAGGGTTAAATCATCAAAACAATAAGGTTGCTCTGAACCAACTGTATAGTACTCTGTATGAGTAAGAGGAACCTTACAGAATTGTGGTTGATCATGCCAAGAAAATGGTTGATTAACTAAAGACAAAATAAATGCATATATGCCTCCATGGTCATTAATCTTTTGGCTCTACAGCTTTCACAGAGTTGTTTTTTGTAATTTATTGAAGGTTCATTTTGTATATAATTTACAGGACTTGCAACTGCTGCAGGATGTCAATTAGTAGCCAGTTGTGATATTGCAGTGGCCTCCTCTAATTCACAATTTGCTACACCAGGGTGAGTATGCACAGAAAAACAAGACTTCAAGGAGAAGAGACACTTTGTACAATATAGAAAATTGTAGAAAAATTGTAGAAAACACCACTTGTTCATGAAATAAACAATATGGCTGCCAATCATTTTTGTAGGTTAGCCAGACATTTTATGGCTTCAAGCCAGATACATGTAACTAAAGAGACAAAGGCAAATTAAAAAAAAAGGAGCATTATGTAATTATATTTTATGAAAATTCTTAATAATAGACCACAAACACTAAGAAATATAATTATTACAACCTGTTACTTGACCTATTTGAAGGCAGGTCACTAAATTTGAAATGTCCAATATAGTTTTATACTCACCATGGTAACCAAAATGGTCATAGCTTGGAGTGTATTCCATAAACTATCTGAATACCTCAATTTGGTTGAGGTGCCTTCATGATCAAGGAAAACCAAGAACTGCATGTAAAGGCTACAAGACTATGTCTACATTGTCCATCTATTAACCTACATCACTTGTACATGAAATCAGTATGAATAACAAGGCTTGCAGAAATCTCATAAGTCTAAGAATTCATAGTTTTTGAAAGCCTTTATAAATCATTACATTGTTTTATTTTGTTGTTTGGTTGTTGTTTTTTACTTTTTAGTGTCAACATTGGGTTATTTTGTTCTACTCCTGGAGTTGCTTTGGCTCGTGCTGTACCTAGAAAAGTGGCATTAGAAATGTTATTTACTGGCAACCCTATTAGTGCAGATGGTAAAGACATTTTTCCTGGCTAGAGATATTTTAGGATTTTTAAGTGACAGTTGTATCTCTATTTAGTTCTTCTTCACTTGGTGTATCAAGAGAGAAGGGTTAGGATAACATGGTTTAGATCCCTGCGATGTGAACATTTTCCTCCCCCTTATGCCTACCCCCCCTTCAGTAAGAACGTATCTATTTTGCGGCTGACGGCTAGTCACACCAACAGCTCAGTCTACTGATGGAATGCTGGATTATATCAAACTAACAACCATATTGTGTTATTTCCCAATTTAACAGATGCTCTTAAGTCTGGCCTCCTTAGCAAGGTTGTACCTGAGGAAAAACTAGAAGAAGAAGTCAATGCGATTGCTACAAAGATTGCTTCATTAAGTCAGCCTGTTGTAGCTATGGGAAAGTCATGTTTCTACTCACAAACCATGAGAGGACGGGATCAAGCTTATGAGTGAGTTTTAGCTAAAAATGACAGAAATCTTCTCAAAATTTCACGCGAAAATGTGGTGCTTGGTCGGTTGAAACAACTGTTTGGGGTTTTTTAGCTACGAGGCCCACTAAGATTTGTAATACTTACATTTTGAACGTCTAGAATCTATTTATGTTGCTGCAACTTCATTGAATAATTCCAGTTTAGAGCGTCTCTCAAATGAGTTTTGTCAAAACGAAACCATGTATTTCCAATTGCCACGAGAACAAAGGAAAATATCACCATAAACCAATAAGATCTCGAATTGAAAGCGAATCACTGCCGAAGAGCGGGAAAACGCAAATGAACAAGACGTCAATCGCTTAAGATTTGTATCTTGTTAGAGGAGGGTGTAACACTAACTTACTATACCAAATGATTAAGTGTACAGGAGCGCTTTTCATTTTACTGTCTAGAACTAGAAGTTAAATAATCTTAAAAGGAGAAAATGACCCTAGTGAGGCTTAAAACGGAATTTAGAGTCATAGCTTTTTTTTTTTTTCCCTATATTCACGTAGCTGTTAATTTTTGTTGCTTTTCAGAGAGGCGGAGGCAGTGATGGTTGAGAACCTGAAGCTTCGTGATGGGCAGGAAGGAATCAAGGCTTTTCTTCAAAAAAAGAAGCCATCTTGGACACACAACTGACTGTCATTAGCTGTAGTTCGTGTCTACACAATATTCAGTTGCGTTGGTTTCGCTTTACTTCACTACGCTCTGTGATTGGTTTAAAAAAACTCACGCCATTCTCTTAACCAATCAGATGTAAAACCTAAATCAATCGGTGCCCGGTCACTCACGTTTCCCGCGCTTCGGGCAATGTTTGAACTCTATAATCTCATTCACTTCTTGTGATATGTCTCTTGTTCTGTTTGGCCGTTGGTATAATTGGGAAAAAAAAGGTAGGGGTTGTTCGTCAGTCCAGTGTTATACTTCAGCAGTCCAAAGAAAAAGGTACTTTATCCTCCCGAAGGAGAATCTTAATTGTTTGTTCACGTGAATTGACCTTCAAAGTATTACATTTGCGCACACGATTATTTATTTAAACTAATGTAACGTTTTTGCAAATAACATTTAAAAACAAACTCAACGGATACAACGCACTAAATTGATGATGGCATGAGTCATGTCGAAACATGTCTGCAAAAGATTTTTCTCGTGAATTTGAAATTTGTTTTAAGAATAATAATTATTAATAAAATGCGATAATACAAATAAATTCTGAAATTCAAACCTGAACTCGCAGATGTGTAACATAGGTTTCTCATAGCTGAGCACTTGCAATTATCCAGGAATTGCCAGAAAGGTGTAATCATAACTCAAGAAGGAAGTTTTTCCACGCAATAACAAGTGCATACAACGTTGACAAAAGGGAAACCTAAGTTTTCGCCACGACGTAAAATCCACGAAAAGCAATGGCTACAATAACTCTTTCAATTGAGAGGATTTACCTTCTTCGTCAGCTAACAGCACTTTCTTATTTCCCTACCCTCTCTGCGAGTTAAATATACCTGTCCCTTCCAAAAAGGTTGAGCATCTTCAAACAGTCGTCAACAAGACTCTCTTCTGCCCAACGACTAATCTTTCTCGTCGTGATGTCACAAACTAGAAATTTGCGCGCGCTTGTATTAACCAATAAGATTCATAATTGATTTCTGACGTGAACGAGAGGATATCTCCCAACCTCTTTCCCAAGGTCCTCTCCTCATGCCTCGAAGGAGAAAATGATAGGACCTGCAAACGAGGTCATATATCACGGGCGCGGCGTGCGCAAACTTTTGCGTGCTCTTCATCATCATTTGCTTCATGTTTAGCACACGCGCGTTGAAATTGCGCAGGACGGAGAAAATCTGTTGCTGATCAATCTTATTACCAGATCTTACGTTAACCTTATCCAGCGGAACGGCCGCTGTAGCGCACAGAGTCGTCCTTTCCTGACGGCTGATCAAGGAAACAAGGACTCTGGAAACGAAATTGATCATTGATTCGTACACAGTAGATTGCACAGCGGAATAAAATAAAGGTAGGGGGAGTAAATGACCCCCATAGACAATTTTTTAGTACTAATTTTCGAAGCAATGCAACTTAACCTCCAAAAGCGTCAGAAATATTTTGATAATATAATAAATCCGCAGCAAGCTCTAAATTTCGTGCTCAAAGAAAAGCTGAGAAATTTACCAAAATTCGAAGGAAGTAAACCTGAAACCAAATTTCGTCTTCATAATAATTAAATCAGCCATCTTCCATGGAAGCAAGGCAGGATTTCAGTAGGGAGGACTCAGGCGATGGTTTGACACGCAACTGAAACATGGTACGCATGCGTGTTCAACCGAGTCCCTCTAAGCGAAATTTTCATTTCCCTGTCGGCCCAAGAATTAATGGATAAAAGTACGTAAAGCTAGTAGAATTTTCCACAGGAATTGAAGCAGCAAGATGCAATCAAAGGATATAGTAAGCACGTTAAAGAAGTTCGACGCATACCCTAAGACGCTCGAAGATTTTCGAGTGAAAACTTTCGGTGGAGCGGCAGGTATGCTATGAAGCTTGTAACTTTAAATAGGATTTAGTTGAGGTAAAATTAGTCACATACTGCCGCTAAGTGAAAGACAAATGATATGTGTTTTAATCTGGTTGGGTTATTGAAATCATCAAAATAGCTGGTAGTTAAAATGTAAACTATTTTATGTGTATTTGTGGGAAAACCTTTGCAAAGTTAGTTATGCACTTTGTTACGTGGCGATTTCTACGGTAACCATGAAGATGCATGTGTAATCATTTTATGATAATCGTAAAAATATAATGTTTATACGGCTAGGCAGTGTTCAGGATCTTAAATCAAGTCTATAAGCCACTTTTAGGCAGTAATTAGTGACAAACGTGTCTATTGACTGACCCATGTCTTCGTTTCACCTCCTATCCGCGTATCCGACGGTCTGGTTTTCTGACAGTTGGTTTATCCAATCAAATGCGTCCATGTGTTGAGGGGGGCCTGAAATAATTATCTACATCAATACAACAACAACCTCCTACATAATGGAGATATATAGAAAAAAGTTCCAGGAGTCCTGCATATTAAACTTGAATTTAAGGGCTTTACATAATAATTCCTGTGTTATGTTTTAAATATTTTCTGGTATTACCACAAAGTGTGCTCTGGGTTGGTGTTTGTGGTAGTGTAAAACCTCTTTCTGTGTCCTCTGGTTTCTGCCCTCCACAAAAACCAACATCCAAATTTCAGTTTGACCTGGAAACAGTGGACTAGTAGAGCTATGCTGTGGAATGTCCCCTGCTAAATTACTGTTATTATTATTATTTTTATTTTTATTTTTACATTTCTCTTTTGATTCCTCTTCAGTGACATTGGTTAGTGGATTGCTGATGTTCCTTCTGTTTGTATCAGAATTAAGTTTTTACTTATCAACAGAGGTAAGAGAGTTATTAATGACAGAATATTTTATATTAAGTTACTTATGGCTTTAAATGTAAGAAATTTCCTTTTCTAAGTCTTTTCTGAGCCAAACTTTTAAGTCTTTTTTTAAGCCAAAAATGTGATTCCATCAACTGACAAATTTTTTAAATAATTAATTTGCAGGTTACACCAGAACTATATGTTGATACTGCCCGTGGAGAAAAGCTTAGAATTAATGTAGATATCATTTTCTCAAAATTACCCTGTGTTTGTAAGTACTTTTTTCAGTTTTAATTTTGTTGTAGACAACTGACATATAGGATAAAAAAGTATAATATTTTTTTAAAAGGGATGATTTTCTAAAGAAGCTGTGAAGCTACATCCCTAGGGATGTTAAGAGTTAATTTGGTTTTATCAACTGTAAATTGTCACTGTAATAAGGTTTTAAAACTGACATTTAAAACATTTGCTCTTTGTCAGAGCATTGACAAAGGACTAATACTTGAATTTTGGGAATAACATTTGTATGGTGTGCACCAGATATGGCAGAAGTCAAAATTTAACCAGTGATTTTGACTTGCATTTGGATACTTTTCACAGTCTTCCCACTCTTGATCCACCAATGGTGGTTAGGGGAAGTTTATGGAAGTATTGAAAGAAAACCTACCCAGGGAATAAGGCTATAAAGTTAGTAACCTGTGGTCAGATTTTATTCATGGGGGGAAACACACAATTCAGTAGCAGTACACTGTGTTCTCCTCTAAAGGAAGACTTGATCATGATGGCTGGATAGGAAATGTACAAGGATCAGAAATATATGTATCAAGTACAGTAAAGACCTTGATCAAAACTGTGATCAAGTTATGATAACCTATGAATTAAAAGACTTTTTTCTGTCTTTCAGAACAAAAACTAGCCAACTTTAAAAACTGCACCAGTATGTGAAACCTATTCATCTCTAATTTTCTTTCAGATTTAAGTATAGATGCCATGGATGTATCTGGCGAGCAACAGGTATTGTGTGAATTGATTTGAAAACTATATTAAAATTAATGAACACTTTAATTCCTTTGAGCGACTAGCATCTAATTTCTCCTTAGAATATTATCCTGGAATCAAACGTGGAGGTCACACGAGTAACAGAAATGATCACAGACCATACAAACTCTTATCTGTTTTACAAATTCTCCTTGTCAGAACCTCAGGAAATGTATAGAGAACAGTATGGAGAATATGCATACTGATGTTAGGGTGTAAAGGGTTTATTATAATTATACTATTTACATTATTATCAATGTTTAGAGCAGTGGTGTATGTAGTAGTTATTTATTTTGCACACAGATTGATGTAATGCATAGTATATTTAAAACAAGAGTGGATTTGGATGGAAAACCTATAGACGAAAATGCAGAAAAAGGAGGTTGGTAAATAAATTTGCATCAAACTGTAGTTCAAGTTTTTTTTTGTAAAATTAACATAATTTTGAGTTTGATCTGTAGGAATATACATTAATCAATTTATTTTTTCTCTCTCCTAAACAGATCTAGGTGATAAGAGCCACGAGGCCAAAGAGTTACTTGAGGTGAGTTAATCCTTTAACTCCCATGAGTGACCAAGGTAGAATTTCTCCTTACCAAATCAATACAACAACAAACAGACAAGTGTTGAGAATAAAGAAAAATAATTATCAGTTAGAGGATCTGATCTGAAAAGCTTTTTTTGTTCTTGTAACATCACAGTTGGGTTCTTACATATGTAATCTTAGAGGAAGTGAAACTTCAGACTGTTGCTTAATTCACCACAGATCTGATCTGGAAAGTTTTTTTTGTTCTTATAACATCACAGTTGGGTTCTTACACATGTAATGTTATAGGAAGTGAAACTCCAGACTGTTGCTTAATTCACCACATTATTATTTCCTTTACAGCTTGATCCCAACAGATGTGAATCTTGTTATGGTGCAGAGACAGCTGGAAAGACTTGCTGTAATACATGCGAAGATGTGAGGGAAGCCTACAGAAGGAAAGGATGGGCGTTATCAGAAATAGACAACATCAAACAGGTAATGTCTCAAAATGAAACATTCCCAGCTTGAGTCCCCTTTTGTTCCTTAAGCCTTTTATGTTCTTGATCTGTAATCTTTTCTCTTATTTTAGTCATTTTTTATGCAACAGTATTAAAACTGCAATTCCTGAACTTTTTAACTTCAGTGTCTCAGGGAAGGTTGGAAAGACAAACTTCAAGAGCAGAAAAATGAAGGCTGTTTAGTGACGGGTCATCTGGAAGTTAACAAGGTTTGTTATGAAATTTAATTGAATATGAAGTTTGAGTATTTCTTTCCAAACAATGTTATACAAATTTCCTTTCATTGTCCAGAAATGCTGTTCATTCAGTATTGCTCAGTTTTTTGTAATTTCAACTGTCATAGGTGGCTGGGAACTTTCACTTCGCCCCCGGAAAGAGTTTTCAACAACATCATGTTCATGGTAGGGTGAACTGAAAGGATTATCTGTGTTTTTTTTTTAATTTCTAAACTGAGCTGAACTGAACTGAACTGAAACTGTACCTAACTTTGGAAGCTATTACTACTGGTAAATCAGTTATAAAAAAACAAATGGATGAATGAGTAAAGAAATGAAATAGATAAATTAGTGGATAAATAAAATGCATAAATTAATAAATGTAAATGAGAAAACAGGATAAAAATGAGTGGGTCATAACAGCACAAAGTTAATTACAAATGATATATAAATTAAATTTTGGTTAACAGGATAAATCTTTTGTTAAAAGGGGTCAATTTAATCCCTAAACTATCAAGATCTTAAAGGCAATTCTCTCAAAAGAAGACAACAAATTTCTATGTCAGTGTCCCCTTATCGACTCATACATTTAATCACCTATTTGTTTGATATTGCACCAAAACTGCAAAGATATTTTAAGAACTTATCAAGGTGTGGAAAGTTGTTCATTTTTTTGTGATTCTCATCGTTTTGATCCTGAAGGATCAGCTAGAGTTTCATTGGCAGCTATGAAGCTGCAAAAGTCTTACCAAGTAGTATACTAATAGGTGGTTGCCATGGAAATAGCATGACATAGGAATTTGACCTACATGCTAAAGTCAAAGTTCACAAAATGTTTTTGCTATGGAAAACTAAAATGTACATGGTATGCTCAGTCTGAGCAGAGAGGTGCATGATTAATTTAAAACTTGTGTTTTCTTGATACAGTAGCTTGAGAGGCTTAGAATAATTGTCTATAGCAATGAAGTCATTGGCACACAATTTACTCAGAGGGTAAAAAAAAACCTGGCATGTGGGGGTAGTTGAGTTTGTAGCCAGGCAAAAGAACTTTTCTTTTTTTGTTACTTTGTCTAAAGAACAAAATGTAACCACAATTAAAGTTCAACTGGCAGTTACAATGGTGTCTTTGAAGTTCAGGCAAAGATGTGGATACTGCAGACTTTGTTCTCCCTGCTTAATGCATACAATATTACATGTATTTGCTAACATCAACTCATTTGATTCTGTTAATGACAGCAAATGTTATTGTCTTTAATGGGAAGTGCTAATAGTGTGTTAGGTAAATTTGCATTGTTTGGATACCAGTTCAAAATTATGTCACTATTCCCTTGAATTTTGGAAGAGCTCTTTGTATCTACATGTATGCTTTGTGAACTGTGTAGAATAAATTTAATCAGGGTTATTTCACTTAAACCTTGACCATACACACAATTGCTTCTGTACTGCACTGTGCTGTATTGTATATGCTCGTGGTAAATTTACATCAAACTTACTATTCTCTTCTAGAATTTAAACAACTCATTAGAATTTATTTAATTTAATGCATCTAAACATAATAAAATGTTACTACTGAGTACAAAATCAGTGAACACATTTAAAACACCAATAAACAACGTTTGTTAATTTTTTTAAATCAGTTACACTCCAATCAATAAATTGGTCTGTGCGATTCTTGTACTTAACACTATTCATTGCCTCATTAACACACCTCTCACACACCCTTTTGCACTTTGCAGTCTCCATTCTCAAGTTAAGCTCAGGGGGAAATGTTATTAAACTGAATAGTAAGTAAAAGGCTGTTATAATGTGCTAAACTGGAGTGCAAGGCAGTCATTTCTTGCCAGACAGTCATTTACATGGAGTGATTTAGACTGTAGACAAATTGAATTCCTCCTCATGGGCTTTTCATGCAAGCATAGGCATTGGCATAACATTGACACATATAGTATTGCACTATGGTGAAGGGGCTGTCTTTTGCTGCACAGAAATGAATGCACTGCACACCTCACACTTCTGCTGTCCAAGAGCTCTATACTGATAAACTAAATGCCTTTAGATACTTTAAAGGTTGAATTAAAATATGATAAATTAGGTACCTATGTTCTAAAATTTACATATAAACTATAACTTGAGGCAAATATAACTGAGAAAATGCTGTCTAACTTAAAACCATGAAAGTTTACTTTTTGTTAAAACTTGAACTTGGTTGCGAAATCAGAAATACAAAGATATATTTACAATACTGATACATAATTGTAGTATAACAAATTCAAGGATAATTTACAGAATCATTGTTAGACATTTTCTGCTCAGACTGGGTGTACCTTTTAAACCAAAATAAATTGAAATGAATGGACAGAAAGTACTTCTGTAGTTATTTTGAAGATTTACAGAGTTGTAAGTAAAAAAAAAAAGAGAAAAAAAGAAGGGAAAGGAAATAAAAGATTTAGGTTATGTTTATAATACCCAATAAAGTTTCACATTTATATGCCTTGTTTCATTGATTTACTTGAGGTTTAAGCTCAGAAACGTTTTGGAAAGTTGAACATCATGAAAACTTCATTTTAAGTTCCCTAAATAGGGAGCTACTTAATCTCTAATTTTTTTACAATATTTAGTGATCATGCATAGTTATGTTTATCAGAGCACATTTTATGTCTTTCATTACACGTTTCACCCTACAGACAAGGATTTCATCGATTAATTAGCTCAAACAGTTATGCTGAATGACTTGTTCTTACATATATTAACACTAAATTTATTATTTTCATTAGTGCATGATTTACAGCCATTTGGATCCACTCAGGTATGTTTTGTATGGTAGACATCTATTGAAAATCTTAAGTTTCATGTTAGTTAATTTAGACTTGGTCATAAAGAGAAGAAGAAAGTTTAGTGTTAACTGTTCATAGAAACAGGTCTTCTTCCTATAGATTCACATAAAATCAAAATCTTTTGTTTTCATTTCAGTTTAATCTATCTCATCATATTCGCCACCTTTCATTTGGCCATGAATACCCTGGAATAAAACATCCCTTAGATGATACATATATTTCTGCAGAAGACGGTAAGTTTGCTGTCAATATTTCTCCTCCTTTTATTTATTATTTATTAAAATTATCTCGTACAATTCATTTGATGTTAAGGTAAATGCTTCTTCTACACCTTGCCTTTTGTTGCTAATGCAAAGCTTTTTAATGATATTTAAAAGGTTCTTCTAACTATTAACATATTTTTTGAACTCTTTCATTGTTCATGGCTGTAGCTGGAAGCATGTACCAGTATTTTGTGAAGATTGTCCCAACAATGTATCGGAAGTTAAATGGCGAGGTGAGAGTAACAGACCTACCCACCTCAAACGAATAAGAGCAAAACTAGTCTTAAACAGTTTTTGATCAGAGATTAAAAAAAAAAAAAATTAACACAAGAGTGACTTATTAGAGAGGCAGCTCAATAGATTGGTTTTAGTACCAGTCAACATCTTAATTACAAGGGAGATAGGAGAAAGGTTCCTTCACTGTAGTTATATTTTCTTTAATTTCATTGTCTATCTACTGGGAAATGCTTGTTGATATTGTAAGCTACTTGTATCTTGAGTCTTTGAATATTTTTTTTTTGTTTCTTCTATGGGATGCCTATGCAGGTTGTAAGAACTAACCAGTTCTCAGTCACTAAGCACAAGAGAGTGATAAGACAGGTGTCTGGTGAACATGGTCTTCCAGGTATGGTTTAAATCTGTGTTCCACTTAGTTTTGCAGCCAGTTTGGAGTCAAAGTTTTCTTTCGCAAAAATTTGGGAAGGGAAGTGGGAAGGTGTTCTTATGATTGCCCAGCAATTCTTTCAGGGGTGGCAATACTCCTAGTCACTTTTCGTTGTAGAGACTGAGGTGAGCTTTAGGGATAATAGGGTCCAAAAACAGTTGTACCCAACTTTTTCTGTTGCTTCTCTTCATAGGTGTTTTTGTTTTGTATGAATTCTCTCCGATGGTGGTTCAGTACACAGAGAGCAGAAGGTACGGCTGCAAATTGTTGGATTATATAGTTGTTCTGTAGTGTTACACCCATGTGTTAAATTTCTCTAAGTCAAACTTCTACCCTCAAAAGACTTTTATTCTTTTGGTGTCATTGTCTTTGACCTCCTTGTTTGCTTAACTGGGATTTAGGGTGTTTCTTGTTTGTGAGTCTTGCTATTTTTAGTAGAAATAGCATTTAAATTATGGGTGACAGTGCTAGTTTCACACAGAAAGTTTCCTGAGATTGGCTGCCTTGTTTATTAACTGTGTCTGGGTGTTTTTTTATAAGCAATTCTATGATTTATCTTTTCTCTCCCATTACCTTCAGATCCTTCATGCATTTTCTGACAGGAGTCTGTGCTATAGTTGGTGGTATTTTTACAGGTATGGAGTTAGTGAAATATCCAAACCTTTCCTAGGTAGATACTGTTGTACTACAATGTAACAAACACTTTAAAAATAATAATTATAATAATAATAATAATACCAATAATGCCAAAGATAGTAATAGTTATAATATAGCATCATTATTATTATTATCAGTACAATTAAATGCCAGTTTGTAAATTTGATTCATAGAGGATTTTAATCAATTAAAATAATCTATAAATGATGGTGATAATAAGTAATAATGCTGATAATAGCAATAACAGTAATGACATAATTTAGTAGTACTGTCATTAATATTAATAACAAATAAATTGATGATAATAGTAATAATGGTGCACAATTGAGCAAAATACAAATGTAAATTAATGATGATAACAATTAAAATAATAATAATAATAATAACAATAACAATATTGATGATGATGATGATGATGATGATGATGATGATATTATTCCTGTTTATTTTTCCTTTCTGATCTCACATTCCTGTCTATTCACAGTTGCTGGACTTGTGGACTCTATGATTTACCATTCAGCTCGAGCATTGCAAAAGAAAATTGACCTAGGGAAAGCAAGCTAACGTATTTTGGAGAATGGTTGTCATGTGACCCAATCTGATGCAGCAGTGTTAGGTGACAATAGACTTTGGGTGACATAACGGCGAGCTGTACAAACTTTCATCCACCACCCAGAACATTTTGGAAATATCAAGGCAGTAGAATTAGAAATTATCTCTAGGGACCAGTTTTTATATGGATTTGTAATAATAATCAACAATAGTGTAGTCTTTTAACTCTTTATCTACTAGAAATGATTAAAATGTAACTTCCCTCTGCAATATCCAAACATTATCCAGCAAATCAATAACAAGAATTCTCATCTTAACAGATAGTTGGTATCTTGATATAATACTAAATTCTTGTAAGTAAGTTACAAGGGAATGTATAATAGCTAGAGGAGAGAGTTAACAGTAAGATCTTGAGAGTTCAAGGATTTTAAACGAAAACAATATACTTCTGAATCACACTGAATTACAAGCGTGTGCCACCTTAAAAAAAAACCAACCATAATTAATTTATGAAGCTGTATTACTTTTCTTATTTTCGGGGCATTAGTCAGGGACGAATGACGAAATGCCATTTGGATGCCCATCACCTAATGTTTGATAGGCTGTCCTCAATACATTGTCGCTACAGACTGAAAATATTATTTGAATGTGTTGATTTTGATCGATGTAAATCGTTAACGGCAGTTGTGGTTGGTGGTTTCGATGATTTTTATTTAATTGAATTGCATATATCATTTCTTGTGTACTGACATTTGAAATCTAGAAATCACTCTGAGGTTTAGTACAATGGTTCAAAATTGCAAATCATAAAAAGAGGCCTAAAAAATTTGGTTTGTTGCTGCTGAGTGAAAAACTGGAACTTGTAATTGAGTGAAGATTATCCTTGTGTCATTATAAGAAAAAAAGTTTTTTAAACATTAGTCTTTCTTGTTGTGACTTGGAAAATCTTTGGTCCATTGGAGCCATATTCAAAGTGTCGAAAGTAACCCTGGAATGGATGGGTTTTGCTTTATCTCTTTCTCAACCAATCAGATGCAAAACTTAAACCAATCACGACTTGGCCGCGCGTGTTTTCCCGCCCTTCTGGTAGTTTCGTTGTTTTTACCTTGAGTTGTCATTGGCTCTTCTGTGTATTGTCCTTTTTTCTGATTGGTCGTAGTGATAACTTTGGCTTTAGTTTTACGACACTCATTCAATAGGCAATCTACTAGCGTCCAGCAATCAAACCAGTGTAAGAATAAAGAAATAGGCTTAAAACTGTTTACTTTAGGTGGCAGAACCTTTCAAAATATGTTGTGAATTCTATTTTGTTCAATGCCTAGAACTGGGGAGAACTTAACCGTCCCTGATCCTAACCAGAAAGGGACAGATACAACCTTTAGTGGAGGACTGGGTAAAGTTCTTGGAGAAATGTCCTTGCTTTTAGTCATGTCACAGGTAGAAACACTATGTTAGCATACACCACGAAAAGTTTCAAGAAACACACCAAGCAGAATGATGGGACTTTTTCCTTTTATCAAACTGTACATTATTATAGCTGTTACACAGGTCAGTTCCTCTTCAAAATATAAAAATACACCTTTAACGAGAAAATTCTCAGTAACGTCGATAAAAGGGCAGCATTTGAAAACACTCATCTGAGACTTAAATAATGTTCATATTTCATGATTATCTAAAGCAAGAGAAAATATTTTTCTCTCGTTAAAAACCAAACTCGTGTCCAAAACCATTACACGGCTGATGTTTAATTCCAATCTATGTCAGCATCTGAACAACTGCGCACTTAACCCTCCCCTAACCCAACAACAGTCAAATGATAAAACCTTCTGAGGCGAATATTGCACGTTTTTAGATCAAAGATCAAAACTTCTGTTTGCAACGAACTGACTCAGCATCATGCCCGCTTCAATAAATTACTTTTAACTAGTTCACAATATTTTATCCGCAAACTCTATCCTCATGCAATTAAGAATCTTTGTATATATTAAGCATCGCACCATATAAGGAGGTCCAGCTTCCTGGGAAATCTTTCATCGAGAAGATTTCCAATGGCGTTCGTGAAATGTAGTTATTAATAGCTTTAATGTTTACTTTAAGCTCTAAACTTGTTGCGTGGCGGGTCAACACTGAATTTTTCGCGGCTTTTGTTTTTACACGAAAAAGAGACATAACTCTATTTCTCTAACATCATGTTTTTCCGTGATCAAAGCACGCGGCCAGAGGAATAAGTACCACTCTCCTGAGCCCGCGGTTTACGCTGAACTAGTTGATCATTCACAACAGCAGCCACATCGAAAGGGCGGAAAATTCGTGTAAGAACATCCGCAGGGACGAAAGAGTTTTCTAAGTTGACAAGCAACTGAAACCCTTGAGGATCTCGTTCACTCAATGAGCGCGGAGCCTGAATAGGCTAAAAACGCTCTTGGACTAGTTCCTCTAGGAGACGCATTCAGCGTAAGCCTATACTTTCTGTGATCATAATTCCTTGGTAGTCACGCCAGTCTTTGAGACGTTTAGCTTCTGATAAATCTATACCTCAACAGGGTTAGATTTTACAAGAGGGCGCCGCTTCGCCGACATCCGCGTAGGCGTAGATCTCACTGATGAATCATAGTGTCCTTCTTCAACGGCTTGAGGGGAAGATGGAGCACCTTCCGACTCCCCCTGAGCACCCCTTGGTAAAGTGTCTCTTTCCCCTGTGAGAGAGTCCCTTCGTTCTGGTGTCACTTGATATCGTCCAGCGATGTCACATTCATCTGAGTCTTTTTCTTCTGCCTGTGAAACCTCTTCATGTTCCGGCATTTGTGTTTCGGACTCTGATAAGTTCAAGAGACTTCGTTTACGCCGTCTCGTTTCTAAATCTATTTCTCTTTTTTCCCACACCGGTTCCTCACCATTCTGCTCAGTAGGGCTGTCTGTATCCCCCAGAACGGGATCAGTATCAGACGCAGTAGAGTTTTGATGAGAAATTGGTCCGGGGGGAGTCAGCCCACCAACAGTCTCTTTCGAATCCGCAAGACTCTCATCCGCTTCTGTCACGTCTGACAATTGCCTCTTGTCCGTTCCAAGATTACGTGACGAGGGTGGGGCGTTCAGAGCAGTCGCATCAGTATCGTAAACTGCATCTAAGTGGTCCAAGTTTGGGTGTTGATCTCCACCCGAAAGACTTCCATGTAGGGACTGCGACTGCGCGGAACTCAGAGAGCCTGGGCGTGACCCTGAGCTATGGCAAGATTCAGGATAACTTAGCGTCACGCAAGGAATATCCGACGATCTTACCACGTGGGTAGTAGCGCTGTGTGTGCCTGGAACCATTTGGGTTCGAACGTCTAACGGGTCAGAATGCGCGCGGGTCACTGAGGAGCGCCTGGAGGAAACACCGTCGCCATTTTCGCGAAAATTCAAATCGTAAGAGTTGCTGCCACCCGATGGAGACTCACGAGTTCTCTGAAGGCTCCGCAGCATCTGCAGAACCAGCTCAAGTTTAGAATCTATGATGGTCACCTGATGTTCCACCCGAGAAAGTCTTTTGGTTACGTCTACTTTTCCTGCGCCTTCATCATCTGGAAAAAAAAAAGAAGAGTCTTCAACTTTGCAAATACTAACAGCCCAGTCCCTTCCCCTCCATCTTGTTTTGTCAACCCTAGCGTGAACTTAACAGTGTCAGTGTCTTGCACTCTCCAACCCTGTATCTCGTAAAATAATTTTCATTGAAAAGTCGAATGCAATAAGGGATTGCAATGGTTTCGCTTAACTAGCTTTTGTAAAAATGCGCAATTTTCTCAATCAGTCAGATCCAAAACTAAACTTTGTCACTCTTGTTTTCTACGAGAAAGGTGTTCCTCCGTTTGAATTCTCAAACTTCTATACGTCGCCGTAAGATAAATGTTTCTTTGGATGATGAGCGATTCGATACATTCCTCCAGTTAGCACTCAAATTTCCTGTGTAACAACTTTATTACCTACCTCCTTCACTTCTGTGAGATTTGTCCATCCTAAAGTAATCAATAAAAAGCCACAGGTTTAACAACATACATACGACTACCACAATAGATTTTACAACTCACGTTGTACGCCTTTTCATCAAGAAAAATGCGAATCGCACTTCACTGAATCACATCCATTTGCTTTTTAGCGAAGAGTCACTGGAAATGTAATGACACGAATGATAGACGTCTACAACGCTTAGAAGAGATTTATTGCATGAGAAAAAAGATAAAAAGTTCAGTTTACACAACTTTTAAAAAAGGACTAGCATGTGCTTTAGTTTCGCTGAACATCGCACTCTGATTGGCTCAACAGAAACACGCGTAACTTCCTCGACCAATCAAAATCAATCACGATTATGGCGCGTGCATTTTGCAGCGCTTGGAAGGCCTGGCGTTAGTCACGTGTATTTTTGTCGAGTTCCGATTGGTCGTTATGTTGCTCACAGGCATTATGATTGGTCTCTGACTCCGTTTCATGTCACGTGACAGCTTCTCGCAAGATTCCTTGAAACCAAGAGGTGCAATTCAATTTTCTCTCCGCTTAAACCTACCATGACTGTCTATCAAATAATAGTCTAAAATTAGATTTGTTATGCCCTTACTTGGCCTGGAGACTTTTAATTCTTGCTAACATTTCGACGTGACCTGTTGAATACTGTTCAATAACATCTTTAACATCATATGGTCTCCTAGCCTCCTGCACAACGAGAAAGTACAGAAAAGATGATAAAAAAGTTGGAGCATTTTTTAACTAAGTGTCCAAAGTAATCGGGGATTGCCCTTACCTTGAATTTCCTTATTGCAACCCTGAGCTTTAGGATTCGAATGAGACGAATGGCCAACTTTTGAGCATTTGTCAACCTGTGGAAAGAAAAAAGCTGAGATTAAAGACCTTTGAAGAAAGCAAGTACTGCTGGGATATGAGTTAACAAAGTTGACAAACCCCATTTAATCCCTTAATATTTGGCAAAAACATCCACAAAAAAAAGACACTTACTCGATGCATGGTCGTTCTCCGTCTGTCTGTAAAGCCAACAGCGCATTTTCATCTGCAATATCGCAGAGGAAAGAGGTTAAGCTAATCGGGAATATGGAATAAACAGAGTTTTCCTCGCATAACTATTTGAGCTCAAACTCCACATTGCCCGAGTGACGTCAAAAAATGCACTCGCAAATCCCCTCTGATGACCTGTGCGCCAATTACCTCTGATTGGGTGTCTCAGTTTTGAATTTTCGCGCGTAAATAACAACCAATCAGCGGCTATTTTTGTTAAGATTACGTCATCATACTCAGGTTAGAATATATTAACTACAAAGATATGCAAACTGGTTAGTGTTTCCTGCGCATGATTGCTTGATACATAAAGATAGATATACCCACCTGGCCGAGATGAAAATTAAGTAAAAAGACAAATGTTAGTTTTTGTTTATGTAAAATTTACCTGATTAGAAGTTTAAATATCCTTCAAAACTATACAACCAGAAAAGACCGTCGTCCTTGAATTCAGCATATTCTTTTAAATATCATGTACCATTTAATTTTGATTTTGTGCAACGGCGTTATAATTTTTTTTGTCAAATATAACTCTCACTGCGGTTTATTAAATTGTCTAAGTTATGAATTGGAAAATGTATTAAATGAATTACAAAGGCATAATTTTTACAATATTTTAAAGTTTGATAGAGCACCGCACGTTTCAAATAACAGATTTATATCTTTTAGATTCTCTTTTAAATATCACAAAAGTCAAGTTTAGAGACTCCGTGATAATTATCAATCACCGTCAATCAACTGTCAATCACTTACCGCCCCAAATCGAGGGTATAATTGATTGCTTTCTTGAGTGAACGATTGAACAATGAACATTATGTGATGACAGCATCGTCACTATTGCATCATGGCTGTTGACGGAACCGAATTTCGATCT